TTTGGTGAGAATTACGCTTTCATCAAGGAAACTAAACCAATTGGGTAACTTTTGAGGGCTGAATCGGCCACAGCTTTACAAAGCCAAGGGGTAAAAAAGTCAATCCCCAAAGTACAGATTCGATCAGGCTTTGCCAAACAATCTACAGTGGAATTGAACAACATGGGAAAGCGATTTTAATTATAAGTTTGTTTGTTGCTTTAGCCGTGATTCTGTAGATGTCAAATTACTAATAATGATTTTAAAATGATGTTCCATTAATCAGTTTAGAATCACTTCTAAAAGGTAGGGCTACAAAAGAAATTAAAGTATCATAGAAAAAACAAAGTTAATATTGTTAAATAAAATTTCATTGCCAAAAACGAACATAACTCAGCAGTGATTGACATATACTTCATACCGAGAGATTCTGAGTTCGATCTCACACCCTCAAATGTTGTATTTAAAAAAAAAATTGAACTTTCCATTTTGTGAGGAAATAATGAAAGTTACGGCTAGATTTTCAATTTAGACAAAATCAACATTAGAATTGTTCTAAATTTGAAAATTTTGACAGAATTATTTAATAGTAGATTTTGTGTATAATCTTGAATAATCTCGAATGTTATCCGTTCCGGTACGTAGACCAAAAGAGCTTGAAGTTGGAATTCAATAGTCTACAAGCTTGCCTTGAAACGACTACAAGTGCGTGCATTTCCCTATCAATGTGAAGGGGATACAGGTCCGAGTTATTTGTTCCTAAATTTTAATTACTATTACAATTTACCACTTTCATTTTTTATTAATTTTTTTCCTAATACGTAAAAAAAACTGTAAAATCTTACCACTTTAATGAAAATCAAGTTTTACTCAAAATTAAATTTAAATGTACACAATCGACTATTAAATAACTCCCTAAAATTTTATAAATTTTAACGTATATCAATACATTAAAAGCCACTCAACTATTTTTCAAAAGAAAATTTATTAGAAGGTAAAAATTTCAATACTTTTTAAATTAAAGATGTAATTTGCAACAACTTAGAGTCTTTCGACCCTTTTTCAATGATATAAACTATTACAATAGAAATTGATATTTTCAAAAAAAAAAAACAAAAAAGTGGTACAGCTTATCTTAGGTTTAGTGCTATTAGTTTGCTTCTCATTAATTCCATTCAGAAAATATTATTTCTTGACTTTGTTTTTCTTTGATTTATATAATATCTTGGAAATGAATACATAACATTGTGCCCCCTTTTGACATAAATTCTTAGATCCGCCTTGAAATAACTTGTTAATAATATAAACAATTGATTAAATATACTGCAGCCATCTTAGGTTTTTTTTGTTTATACAACATTTGAATTATTTGTAATGTTAATTTTTTTTTCCCGAATTTAAAGTCCTTCTTCATGAACTTAATAGCTACTTGTTGGAGTCTCACAACGAAACAGAGCAATTAGAATTATGAACAATTAATTAAATTTGTAATTTGTAAGCTTTTTAGTTTAGCAGCAATTTTATAAAATTAAAACTTTCCTGAAGTTATTTCCTTCCTAATTACCAAGAAATAAGATAGAGTACGTCATAAGAATATTAACATATAATTCAATATCTATAACCTTTCGATTTAAGTTATTGAACTCAGCTGTTATAATTTAACGTGGTTGAGGTTGTGTGTTTGAATACATGTAATGTCATTTCCTTTTTAATTACAAATACTTATGCTTACTAAATTACTAAATGTTCCTTAAGCCTATTAAATTTAAGTTGTTTTTCAAGTATATGTGTCAATTAATCCTAAGCTAGGTTCATGTTAACTTTAATATACATGTTTAAATACATGTTTGTTCCTAATGACAGATTTGGAAGAGTTAGGATGTACAAAAGTCACCTGTACGGTTTTCCAGTGATCATCGTGACAGATCCAGAAGTATGCCGACGCATATACTTAGACGACGAACATTTCAAGTTGAACTATCCAAAGTCAGTGAAACTATTACAAGCAGATGGTTCACTATTGAAGGTCGACTACAAAATTGTGCAYCGCTTGATGGCAGCTCCGATAAACGGYGTCGAGGCGTTGTCTCGGTATGTCGAGTTCATCGAAGATGCGGTGGTGGAGGGTTTGGAGGAATGGGGCAGCATGAAAGGCCCAGTGCCGTTGCTTCATGAATTCAAACGCCTCACCTTCAAGATCATTATAGGGGTTTTCTTGGGGYCTGTTTTCACTGAYTCTGAAGTAGCAGAACTTGAGAGTTTGTACGCAGAGATCGGACCAGCAATCATGTCCATTTTCCCTTATAACTTGCCAGGATTCAGTTACCGTCGAGCACTCAAAGTACATCATCCATTAACTCTGCCCCTCATAAATAATCTACATATTATATATAGTTAATAGTAATTACTTATCTGCTATCAATATTCATGAGGTTTCATCTCGAAATCTAGAAGTGAATGATCGTGGGTATATAAGAGAGGAGAAGCAAAGCCGTGAAGGATATATGCTCAAAGCAGATCATATCATATCATTGTGGAGATACTTTGGATATCTGGGGTACCGTTGTCCTTAACAATTGATATTAAAGCTCCCACAGCTTTGTTTTTTGTTCCACCCAAAAGGTCTCATACCAATGGAAATAGTTGTCATCTCTTATATACCATGGATCATTCTCTTTTTCCTAACCAATGTGAAACTTTGTTTGCGCTCTCCTAACCAATGTGGACACACAATCCACATTGGTGTTCACTATTATTTGTTTTGTTGGTTAACATTCATTCCCATTTCTTTATTAATTGGTATAAATTTGGTGGAATACTGAAGAACCTAAATTTGACAAGTATATATCATATATCGTTGTCAACCTAAGCAAAAATATCATCACAACAAATAAACTATTTAAACAACGGTTTGCATATAACTAACATCAATAACGATTATACACGAAAAGAAATGCATGCTTTTTTGAATCGTGCTAAAGTAGTTGATCCAACTCATCTTCTGGCTCTAACTTTCCAAACACAAATTTTATTATGTGTTATTTGCTGTAGACCATGAATTAAACTCTCATATGTTAATTTTATATTCCATATGCAGCAATCAACCTCTTTCAATGCAAAATTAGGAGAGTAAAAGTAGAGAGAAATTCACACTCACAAGACACTGTTTACGAAGGTTCCAGCTCTAATTTCTCTCTCAAAATCTCACACTTCCTCTCGTTAAGTGAGTATTTATGTGTTTACAAATCATACATGGAGAAGAAAATATAGCAAAGACTAGACCATTGGGTCGTTTCACAAGTAATCTTCTTTCTACTTAAGTTGAATTTTGTTGGAAAAAAAAATAGAACCTATTTGATTTTTCGTTACACAGGTTAAAAATTAGATAAACAAGTAACAATAATAAAAGGAGTAAGAGATCGGAATAGGAAAAAGTTAGGTTTATAGGAATCAATATCCTAATTTACAAGAAGCAATATTCTAATCCTTATGGAAAACTCACAGTAGGACTATAAATATTTTTCTTCGTAAAACATAGGTCTCCTAGTTCAATTCACGGTTCTATTATATATATTCATATATATGTATGTGTGTGTCTATATATACATATACATATATACACACATATACATATATCTACAATATATACATATGTATACATGCATATATATGTTTGCGTGTGTATATATTTATTTGTATATACATATATACCAAATGGGTTTGGCATATATACAAATAAATATATATGTATTCATATATATGTATGTGTGTGTCTACGTATACATATATACACATATATACAGATACATATATATACATGATATATACATATGTATACATATGTATACACATGATACATATATATGTATATATATGTATACATATACATATGCGAAATGGGATTGGCATAGGTATGTATCTGCCAACCCCAGGGTCTAGTGTACGGTTGAGGGTTGAGGGTATGACTTGAAGTGCGTGGATGAAGGTTGGCCAAAGATAACATTATAGGCGGACTCGCCATCCACCAATATGAATTCAACAATTTTTGTGACTGGGGTGTCACTCTGTCCAATAGTGATAGGGAGATCAATGCAGCCTGTTAGAGTGACTGTTTCTCCAGAAAATCTGATCATGGGAGTCAGACTCTTCTTCAATTGTGTCATGGTCCATCCCAAGGCTACATATGTTGTTAAGGACAGAATATTAGCGGATGCTCCTTCGTCAATAAGCACCTTTCTGATCTGGACGTGGTCAATCATTGGTGAGATGATCAGGGCGTCATTATGAAGGGAGTAGATGCCCTTTAGGTCGGCATCCGAGAATGAGATCGTGCAGGTCAGCCTCTTCATACGTGAGGCATACACTTCATGTTTAGCCTCTCTTGCCAATTCCTTCCTCTTGTTTCCAAAATAGCCTACCACTTGGGCCTCCAAAGATGGTATTGATGACGGCAGGTCCGTTGTTGACATCACGTGCAAGTATACACAAAATGTCGATTGTAGTACGAAACGAGGTCGAATCCAGAGGGACTTCGGATGATATTTTAAACGGTGTTCACAGATACCAAAAGCGTAAATAAAGAAATATAGATGTTGTTTCGTAACTCAAATAAGTAAACATGAAATAAACAAAGTAATAAACAAATCCCAACAGCAGACACACTTCGTAAAGCTGATAACAAGAAGAAGAACTAGCACAGAATATGAAAACGAAGAGATAATAGATCTGGAAAAGTGGGGGAGACTCACATGTATTCACAAACCTATCAACCTAACCTCTAGCTAACAACATTCACTAATGCCCAACTCGACTTGATTCCCTTCCGAGACACCCAAACATGGAAACCCACAACTCCCGTTGCTAAGTTTCCAAGCAATCAAAGTAAGTTCTAGGCACGATTAGGGGACCTCATTCTTGAGAATCCACAAAATAGTACTAATCACAAATGAAGCAAATCGAAAACCGCTAACCCTCCCGGATCAATACTGAAGCTAGCATACAGAACAAAGTGGCCAACAATGCTCAATAAGATATAAGAAATAAACATAGCTTCATTTAAAAATGAATATAGTAGCTAGAGGTTCAGTTTTACAGCAGTTACAGCATGGGAATCTCTCCCGAAATGAGGTTTAGCTCATAAATGAAGAAGAAAATACAATGGGTAGAAGAAGAAGACAATCCATCTTAGGGAGAAAACAGAAAATCGAAGAAGAAGAAGTTGACAGATCGAGACTACTGTGGAAAATCCTTTCTGTCGTCGGCTTTCTGGCCCGAAAATGGAGAGAGCCGTCCTCCTTGTTGCTTCAGCTCTCCAAAATATGCTTCTATTGGGATCTGTATGTGGCGGCTAGGGCAACACACCCCTTTTATATCGGGTTCCGTTATTAGGGCACCCAGCTAAAAATTGTACGGACACGGTAAATCCCGTGTTAGGGCTGTTACTGCGCAGTGAATCCATGCTCCAGCTTTTATCTACTATGGCTTGAAAATACCTTGCTCATTATTTTCTGGATTTAGCACTCCCTTAGTGTTTAGTCTTCTACTTCCAAACCTGTGCATTTACACCAAAAATAAGAGCATTTAGTGCAATATTTAGCTACAACATTCAAGACCTGAGCTTTTTAGCTCAGATTCTATTTTCTACTCTTTTTTATACTAATTATGCACCAAAACCGACACACTTTAACAATTATTTGCATAAAATCACCCCAATAGACACTAGAATAACTCTCACATGGAGAGTTATCATCTGTCATCTCTCTTGGGAGGCATCCTTGAACGCCTTCGCTCGTCCTTTCTCTGAGAGGACTCTGATCTGACCTTGCCAACATACTTTTTAAAGTAGTTGTCCTGGATCAGATCTTCAGTTTATCACTTAAGTTCAAAACAGGCCTAAGTATGATGGCCATGATCTCAATGGAAACGGTAATATTTTCCTCAATCTCGCTTATCGAGATCCCCTGTAAGCTTACCGGGATGCTTGATCAACTTATCCATCCCGATTTCTTCAATATTCAAAAGAATCTCTCAGATCAGAATGGTGGTCGGGATGTATCTTTCATAGGGTCGGCTCTTGTTCAGCTCGGAATCAAAACATTGATAGTCAATGCGGCCTTAGAAGGATTGAGGTGCAAACCCTCGATCCTTGGACTTGAAATTAGTATTTCATCTATTGTTTAATTATTTGTTTTAAAGCTATGTTATATCCAAAGGATAAGCCATACAAATTTGAAATACAGGCTCCGTTCATATATGGACCATGAGATATCTATAGTATATATAAAAGCCACTATTAGGAGAAAGTTTGTATTCCATTTTTACCATCTCGTTTTAACTATTTTCACTGTTCTTTTGATTGTAATTGCGTAATTAAATACAATTTTTCTCTCTTCTCTCCCTCACGATCCCACCCCTCTAAATTCCCCTCTTCCTTCATTTATGCCATAATACCTTTTAGTGTTTCATCTTCCTATTTCAATTTTGCCATATACTATGAATCAAGACTATAATTAGAAGATCATTAATGCTCCATTATCTTTATTCCATTTAATTTCTAAAAATTCTTTCATCTTCTTCATCTTTTCGAGAGATATATATATACATAGTGGGTGAGATAAATACAAAATGCAAAGGGGAGAGCACTAAAAAACTTGCGAGAAAGTGATATTTTCATTATCATCATACTTAACCAAAGGGCATAGTAGAAGTCGTTACAGGGAAGACAAAGGGCATAACAGTTATAGTCTAGGTCGCAAAATGTTGTTTCTAAATTAGAGAGGGAACGGTAGTGGCGAGCCAGAAGGAGAAAGCTGTTGAGACAGTAGCGGCACTAGATAGAAGAAGACGACATATAGTGAAAGACGATACACGCGTGAAGGGAGAGGAGAGAAAAATAGGTTTCTATAATTTGTGCATTTATGTTTAGAAATACAAAATCCTTGTAGTCGGGCTTTGTTATTAGCTGAAGTTTATAGTTGAGCTACATATGATAATATTGGGTCGGTATAGATAAAAATAGGTGAGAACTATAGTAGGTAATTATTAAGTAACTTTCCCACTTCTAATTTAGAAATAAAGTCCAATAAATGATGTTATATAAAACAATTATTAATTTCATTAACATGTTTAAATTCAGTTTCAATTTTATTGAATAATTAATTATCCTTTATTTTTAAAATAGACACTTTTGGTGATGGAGGTTTGAGAAATTATTTTAAATCACTTTTTTAAGTCCTTTAATTGATAGTTGACTAAGTTAAAATGATGTCCCATATAAATGGTTAGATTTGAAATTATGGTAATTCAATAATATATTTATGGATGATAAATGACGTGACAGTCAAAAGTTGCGTGATGGTTCCCGGTGGGAGAGGGAAATTTTGAATAAGATATTGGATTAATTTTTTCTTCATGTAGAGGGTTTTCTTTTTATTTTTTATTTTATTGAAAGAACAAAAGAAAAGTAATATATAAAAATTCATAGAAGTAAAAGACTAATTTACCCCTTCTAATATTTCAATATTTTTCACGCTGCATTCATCTCCTCCGTCTCCTGTAACCTTATATCTGTGTGGTATGAAATAACGTGATGTGATGGTTCCTCACGTGAATCACGTCCTTTTGTTCTCATTCCAAAATCACTTCTAATAATATGGTGATTCTTATAATTATACTTCTAATTTTTCAATAATAAAAATTAAAAATTTTTATAAATGAAAAAATTGGACAGTTAAAAATTTAGTAGTAAAAGATTAAACCTTCCTCAAATTTTTATAAGTGAGAAAATTACAATTTTAAAATTTTGAAGGGTAGAAAAATAAAACCCTTCAAATGGAAAAAAAATAAATAAATGTATTTTACTTTATTTTCTCGTCCACGTTTCTTCTTTTCTCTATTTTATCTCTCACCGGCAGAGTCTAGGTCCATGTGAATTTGAGTTTTTGCGGAGAGTAAAAATTGTGACGATGATTATTATTATTATTATTAATAATGCATTGCTACGTTGTCAAGGATTAAGCCGACGTGTCTGCAGATTGCAGAACATAAACCATCTAAATACCACGAAGACCCACAAACTAAAGTAATCATTATTCTTTATCAGAAAACACCTAAATTATCATAGATTTTTATAACCCAAGACAAATTGATTACTCGTACGGTTAAACTCTTGGGATCATAAATAATCTATATATCAAAATAGAATACCCAATGCTTCTGAAGCAAAAATACCCACACAAATAAAATGAATTGAGTGAGTATGTGTTTGGTAGACTTGTTTTCAAAATTTGTGATCCAAACCGTGAAAATTCTAAAAACAACATTTTTATGTCTTTCAGATTATGAATTTGAAACTTTAAAATGTAGATTTAGATAAAAACTTAGATAAATATATTATATCATGCTGTAAACTCATTTCACTTTTGTTGAAATTAAAAAAAAATGTAAAATATAATATATTATAAAATATATAATATTGTTACAGTAGAAATTACTTACTTCAAGTGTACGAGTCAAGTTTTAATATATTTGGTAGGTGAATACATTTGGATTGGCTTCTAGCTCACCCAAGTATCATAAATACAATCATCGCTCAATTTATTTAGAGAACCAAAATTAAAACAAATAAATATGCACTAAAATAAAGACAAAAATGATGAAAAAAAAGTCCTGAGAATTTATTTCAAATCTCAACCAACCATCTCTCTCCATCACAAACTACTTCTATTTAGAGGAACAAAAATCGAATATATCCAGTCCAAATAAATCCATATAAACGATTGTTGACTGCATTTTTTTTTTTTTACAACACATAGGAATGGAAATATATGTTAATTACCACTGAGTTATACTCGTTTAGTTATCACGTAAATTAAATCATTTTCATTTTGCGATATTTCTAGAAAATATAAATGTATTCGTCATTGTCCCCTCCGTAGCCAGTATTATTACATGTTCATTTCCCGCCGTGCATTTGGATTTTGTCCTTTTATCTCTCTGTCGGGTTATGAAATAAATTAAAGTGATGGTATTCACGTGAATCACGTTCGTGTCTATTGTCCACATACTTTTCCTTTTTAAATGGAGTGAAATGTCATTTTAGAATTATCTTCTCTGACACGATTCAATAAATTAAATAATAATAGAATATTACATGTTCAAAAAACTAAAATTAGAAAATAGAAAGAAAAACCTCGTTAGTTGCTTTGTTTTGTTTTCTACGAGCAGCATTTAGGGTGAGATTACCACCTCTTAAATCTGGACTTAAATATAGAGTAGGGATTTCCTATATTCTAATCTACTTAAATATCTCCTTTTTTTTTTCTTAATCGACTTAAAATACCATATCCTATGCTTACTTTAAATTCCARGTGAGCTCGGGTCAAGTTTTTAATATAATAGTCAAGAATCTTGAAAAATTCCAGAACAATCAATACCAAGAATCTAAGTAGGGAAGAAAATCAAAATGTATAAATAAATGAGAATTACCTGAAACCATTAGATAGATTGACCATGATCTGCAAAAAGTTGTGGTTTGTGGTCTTTCTCAAATATGCAATAGAGACAAAATATAAGCAATACTCTCTGTTTGATGGGAAACATGAGGCTCAAGAAACATAGTGTATTGGAGACCATAATCATATATTTATAGGTTAATCCTAGAGTTTCTCATAATGGACTAATTTCTACTCAGCAAGTCACATCACTCAACGGAAATCACTCATATGCTTCATAAATAGCTCAAATATAAATTACTCTTTAATTTGTTATCAACATATAAACTAATTATTAAATTAATTCCAATAAAGAATTTCATTTAATTAGTCTTAGAAGGACGAAATCATTAAATAGATTGTATAGAACAATGGATGAACAAATTCTATAAATTATCAAACAAGACACAATCTTTAATGCGACGTCATTTTGAGAGATGTTTAGAAGTTTTTTTTACCACATAACATGTTTTTCACGACGAAAGAGTAGAAATAATTGTGGATGGGTGGATACTGTGACACTGCTTTGTAAGCCACTAGAATCTCCAATAAATAGTGCTTCTCTTAGTCTTTAGGGATTCAACACAAGTGCAAAAAGATGGAACTTTTGAGCAATTTTGGGGCCATTTTGGGAGCTCTTTTAGGGTTATACATCCTTGTCTTTGGATTCCTAAGGAAATTCAACGACATATGGTATCGTTTTAAGTTGGGAAAGAATGTTTACAATGCCCTCCCTCCCGGTGATATGGGATGGCCTCTTGTTGGTTCCTCTCTATCGTTCTACCAAGCATTTAAAATCGGTGGCGACCCTAACGCTGTTATGGATAATCTCATTTCTAGGTACGTCTCTCTTTGACTTCTTTCTTTTTATGGATAAGATTGTAAATGAAATGATTAGAATTCTAAATCTAACTATTTGTTGCTTTAATAGTGATTCTATTAAATCTCAACAAATTACTGAACCCGTTTAGAATCACTTCTAAAAGGCAGGGCTATGAAAGAAATTAATGTATCATAGAAAAACAAAGTTAATTGTTCAAGATAATGAAAGCTACGGCTTGGCGGCCGGCGGCCGGCGGCTGCCGCTGGTTTTTCTTAAGCGGCTGAGCATGCTTTTTTATTTTTATTTTTATTTTTTTTTAATTTTTTTGTTCATTATGCGGTTGTATTAATTTTTTTTTTTTTTTAAAAGTCAAGATGT